TATTTTGGGTGTCCCACTACTGTATGTACTGTACTGTTTATTTATATATTTATAATTATAATCTTGTAAATTCTTTTAGTTGTTTACAGTAGTAGAAATGAACTGTTGTTGTTGTAAGTAAAGGCTATGTCTAAAAAGAACTAATAATGGCTCAAGATAACTAGTTTCTCATAGAAGACCATTCCAAAGACTACGCGCGGCTGCCGCAATTGCTCTGTCTCCGAGAGCGGTTAACCCATATCCCACCTGGGATTTTCACTAAAGGCTACAATTTTATCTTAATTAATGAAGACCACGTAAATATTCTCGCATATTATGCCACTACGAAGGCGACCAATCAAAAACGATGCTTATGGCTAGCATTTTTATAATGGGAGGGCTATCATAAATTATGATTATATCTGCTGGTTTATCTCAGTTTATGCTACAGACTAAACACTGGATACAAGCAATTTTATCGCTAAACAATTGTTTAAGAATGGAAGTGAATGCATGAAAGATCATATATTAATTGCACACATTCTTTGACAAAAAGATATGATCTTTCGTATATTCACTTGCATTCTTTACCATCCACGGTACATTGTTTTTTCAGGCTTTCATTTCACAACCGCTTAATAAGTTATGTACATAACCGTGATTATCATTCATGCCTTTACAGTTTTCTAAAAAACGAGACTGGCGAACCCATTAAAAAAAAATCGAGTTTACATCTAGTTTAACTAGCTCAAACCTTTAACTATGGTTCTTACAACTACCAAAGTTATCAATTGGCACTTGAAATGAACTAATACAAGCTTTAAGATGACATCTGAGTTACTTTGTTCGCGTCACAAGTCTCCCAAGTTCACATTTGTTTTCGTTGAGCCTGCATTCTTTCGCGGTTCATTCATCTTAAGTGATAGATTATGAGAAGCACTGGGCATTAATTATGGCATTAAGTATATCGTTATTGACGTCTTTCGCTCAGGACCGGCTACAACATGTTTCTGAATTTTTAAACTATGCCATGTTTATGTCTTCAACTTTTCTGACATCCGTGACACAAGTTTTTCGGAACAGCACTTTGATAATATCCAGGAGAAGTTTGAACACTTCTGCCACTGTAATGGCTGATACGCCGATCCAAAGACCCAGTTGTCCGCCAATGTCGCTCATGAGATTCTCAAGCTGTAAGAAAGAGAACAGCTATAAGAGCATAGTTCCAACCTTCTTGGTAAAGTTTGCGTTTGAGCCTAATGGCCCATCAGGCCGGCGCTTCTCGCTAGTTTCCGTAGCAGGAGTAATTCTACACCCCCTGCCAGGAAGGGATTCTTGTTCATCGCAGGGGCTACCTGGGCCCAAGCGCGAAAGAAAGAGCCACTATGGGGGTTAACTGCCTTGCCCAAGAACGTAACACAATGATTTCGGCCCCGGCCGCGCCTGCTACTCCAACCGGGTTGTTGTGGCAAATGGTGTGTCAAGCCGTTGGTATTGGAAGGATTGATTTTAATTGACTTCAGTTGACCTCAAAGGTTAGGGTCAGGATTTAGGAAAAACTCCCATATTTATAGGAATACTGTGGTCGAGAAAGGCAAAAATTGTAGATCACGCTAAAACTACAGCCAATCTCAAACCAATGTCATAGTCATCACCTGACAGTGACGTGGACGTGAGCCCGTGACTTAATTACCCCGGAGTTTACTGCAATTAATGCCACTGTGTTCAAAACTTAGTAGCGCCTTCTAAACTTAGTGGAACAGCGTTGTTAGGTTCAACACATAGTTCAACAACGGAACTACTTACTTCGTAATATTCTGAGTAGGTTATTTTCTCCATGTTTAGCTCCTCAAAATAAATCTTTATTCGCAGAAAATTTTCCCTGTTAGATATTAACAAATGGATAATGATAAAATTTAGTGGGAGAAAACGTTGATTACCATATATGATCCTTAGGGATCGCCCGCAGAGAGAAGTGATTACTCGCTCTGACCAAGATTATGTGAAGTTGTTGAAAACTACAAATATAGGAATTTCAATTCCTTCACCCTAAAAAACGATTTTCAAACCCTAAAACTAGAACGACGAGCAGGCCCCTTTTCTATTACTGTAGTAGTTATTAGTGATTTATTAGTTAGGTAGTTAGATTAATTTAATTCAATATTGTTAAGTCCTGAAGGAAACACCGTGTCTAAATAAAGATTTTACCTTACCTTGCCCCCATTGCCTTTCTGGGGTGTTCTTAATCTATGCAATATTATTCAGGCCATACCTCCCCCCCCCCCCCCCCCCCCCCCTCCCCCCGTGCCACCACTTCGAAGCCCGAAAAGAGCCTGAGCCCGCGAAGAGCCTGGGTATTTGTATTTACTTTCAAGACAGTGGCCGGAAATGCGTCTAAAATCAAGTGCATCAAGATGGATGCAACATACGCAAACCTTCTGTCAGGCATTCAAAATCGTTACGATAAAGGGACTTTTTATTGCTCTGGTAACTTTGCCGCCAATTTGACTAGCAGGAACAAAGGCAACAATCGATTCGTTCTGCTTTATGAGTCTCATTTTTCTCGCCGTATTGGTAGGCATCTTAGTCAAATAATACGTTTTTCATGCACGTATCTTCGAGGCGCATAAACTTGCCAAGGTCGATTTTCCTTATGTACTTAATCTGGGCGTATTTGAAATGTTAATGTTCTAGATATTAAAATAAGGCTAATGGCATATGGCTGAAAGATTTCACGCGCGTTCTGCAAGGTAAATGTCAACACACTGGATTGGTGGACAAACAATACTGACAGTAAGAGTTAGTAGAAACGTTATAGAAAACGATCCCGTAAACTGGCGCTTATCAGCCCCCCCTCCGCTTCCCGCGTCCCCCCCCCCTCCCCCCCGCATATAATTAAGGCACCCTGGCTATAGGTCCATCTACCTGTACACCAAAAAAGACATCCAGTTATAAGCCTCCCCGGACATAAGCCCCCCTCTAGCTTTCCTTGTTTTGAATTCGTTTAATTATTTAATGTTTTAAAGAAAAAAAACTATTTCGATCAACATGTGCAGCTATAGTTCGTTTCGAAACGGCCTTTTTATTCCGGTTATAACCCCCTCGGATAAAGGCCACCCGGATAAAGGCCACGTTTTTTTTTATCCCTTCTAAAAGCGTTTACGAAGTTCAATAAGCCCAGGGCTTATAAGCGGCAGTTTTATTAGTCGTGCTCTATCGTAAGCACTGAACGACCTGACGAGAATACTCATTGTTTTAATGACTGTTAAGTCCGCACCAGGAATACACCGTTAGTTACTTGGAAATGAAACACTGCTATACACATAAGAAGAAAGTATGAAGTGTAATAATTTACCTTGTTACAATGTAATTGGTGTATTTATTATTATTATTGTGATCCTCACCTGAATGCATCCTCGTTTTTTCCCATCTCATGAATGTCAGAATCGTTATCTTTAAGCATGATTGATCGTAATAGTCTCTGGAGAGTATAAGGACATTACTCTAAAGATTATTTATAGATAGGCAGCATTTCTTATCATATAAACACGACAAAACTTTACTCGTATTTTAGCAAATCAGGATCCGTTCTTATGGTTGTTTAAATTTAAAAAAACGTCTTAACTGATTGCTTCCCAATAGCCTTTTGAGAGCCAACAAATAGTAATGATGATGATGATGATGATGATGATGATGATGATGATGATGATAACAATAATAACCTTTATTTACCCTGGGCAGTGTTTATAGTATAAAGGCTATCGGGGCCGAGCAAACAACTGAAACAATTTTAATTCAAAATGGCCATAACGTATTACCTGAAGCAAACAAATCATAGTAAAGAATCCCAGCTAGCACGCGCTAGTCAAAAATGGATAATTTAAAAGCGTTGATATAACTAAACCCTAACCACTTTGCCTCGCTTTGGTGAATTTTAACTAGCTTTGTAAGAAAAACGGTCTCACCTCGTATCCACGTGACCAAGCAGAACTGGAAGATGACATCCTGTAGGTTACCTGACTGTTAAAGAATTATAGGGGAAATGAATAGAGGAAAAAAGGGAAGAAACAAATAACATTCTATCATCCTGATACGTTTTCGAGTGAGACTGACTACATGATTCTAATACGACATCAAGGCACTGCCAAGTGAAATATTGGATTTTCAAGCCAGTAATACGTGAAATATGACTCGATACATCTCCTCCCTCTCACTAACGTCGACAAGGGTGCGTAGGATACGAGAGCCGAGTCTATGAGGAAACGCGCAATAATTAAGGTTCGACGTTTGTGTTGCTATGCAATGCTCCAAGGCTCGTTCCTCAATGTGAGATACACCGCATGCGTTGAGTATAGCCTTTTCCAGGTGTTCAGTTAGTTGGGGCCAAGCGCGAAGAAACGGCGCAGCGAAATAAAGGAGAGAGAGACGGTGCGAGGAGCATATATTCTTGTGCGCCATTTTTCACGCTGCGCCCCTACTAACTGAACGCCTGGAAGAGGCTACGTAGTGTAGGGCGCCTTTGTAGTGCCGTAAGTCTAGTTCTTCTTTTCACCAGGTGACTGAAGTGACTCGATTCAGTCATGCACATTAAAAAATTATAAAATTGTGTACAATTATATTGTATGGTTTAGGCAAGGTGTTGGCATGCATGAAAGCATATACAGTTAGAGTGAACAAAATACGTACGAGCAAGGTTGAGGGCATTTTGCAGAGCAACCAAGTCCATCATCGTCATCATATCTGCGTTGCATCTCCTGAATGCATCTCACTGGCAAAAAGAAAGTGTGAGAGGATGGTAAGAACTGAATCAATCACATTACACTTGAACCGTAATGGGTATCTCCGCCAAGTACAAATTCGAAGTCGGCAACGACTGTCTTATTATCATGATCCAGTAACCAACGTTTACAAGTTACTTTATCACACCGCGAAGCAACTAAAATTTTCTAGATCTATAAACGTGATGACTCTGGATGCAAAATCAATAACTTGTGGAAATTAATGTATAGGTTTCCAGAGAAATTTTCATTTCTGTGATAAGGAATCTTACCTTCAGAAGTCGTGGAACAGATTCCTTTTCCAGAAGGGAATTTCATTTCGGTGCAATTACAATTATCCACTTGTGCACGAGCGAGACAAGAGTACATGCAACCCTAGACAAGGAAAAAACTCAGTAACCCCCTCAAACTTTTCAGCTCGGAGTTGTTCTGCTATAATAGTTTTATTGTACTTTCGGGAAATTATTAGCAACGTTAACGTTTCTTTATAGCAGCACCATCTCCGGTATGAACTAAAAACGGTTGATGTCTGAGATATTTAGCAGGCTAACCTCTCGTGAGCTGAAGCAGGTTTCAAGACTGTTTTTGTCAGACAAAACTCGGGCTGATTTGATACGCCTTACAACGGCTCAAATCTCTGGGGCAGCCTCTACCGATTTCGATGACAATCTACAATCTAAGGAGACATCGCTCATGACGTTTTACAGTCTCTTTTTTTTTTTTTTTTTT